AGTTTCTTTCATTGTGCGACTCTCTTTTTTTCACCCCCAGTCATTGTTGGTGTTCCCCCTAAAGGTATATTACTTTAATCTTATTAAAACACAGATCCTATTTTGTTTCGTTTTTTTATAGTTCAATATTTCGTTTTACTTGTCTTTACTACACTAGGATCTGGAATAGTTGTTATATAACCTGCATTTTGGTTGATGCGAGTGATTAGCCAATAAAACAGTCTGTTAGTTACAGCGAGTTTTTGGCGTGTGATGCACAGAATTGGTAAATCAACTGTCTGATACATAGGGTCAACTGTCCCTCGTATGATCCCCGTGACGTGACCTTCTACTACAACAGATCAGATCTTCATACAGTAGAGGTCATTGAAAGTACAAAAAAAAAAAAAACGAAACGAAATATAGATCTGTATTTTAATCAGCTTGTTTAACCTGTGCTAGATTTCAAAATTTGTGTTTATTTAAAGGCCTCAACATTAAAGCTATTTATAAAAATATTAACATTATAATATAAATGATCTACTTTAGTACTTATTACAGAGCTAGAATTCAAACCAAGCGGCAGCTAATAAACACAAACTACAATATGACTGTCATTCACAAATAACTTCCATTTTTATAAATTGCCATTAGATCTATTTTCTTTACCTACGATCTAAATGATACATTATGTAAGATTTAGATAAACAGCTGGCCGTTCTCGCTATAATAGTTCCAAAATAAGTATTTCAAAATGAATATATTGAAAATTTCAGTCAAATTACTTTATTCTGAACGATGATATGAGTGTCTGAAGTTTTGACAATCAATGTAGTCTTGATTGCCAAGTACAATTTTGCTACAATAATAACAAACAATGTCTTGATTATCCATTTTTTAAATTAAATTGTTAAATAGCAATTGTGTTTTAAATTTTAATCTATTCAATATCACTGCCCATCCTATGATCTAGAGAGTTGATTATAGACTTATGTAAATAAATGTTTAAATAATTCATATAACATTTGAAGCCGGAACAAAGACCTGCAATAGGCAGATTTATTCTTTACATTCTTACGTCAAATTAATGTCAGATTTAAAGCAAAGGGCCTTTTAAAAAAATTGCCAATATCCATTGCTTACATGTATATGGTACACACAAATATGTCCAATTAAAAAAAACCAATCAATTAATTCATGTTTCCTCTCACAGCTAAAGATCCTTACTTATTAAAATAAAATTATACCATGTCAGTCCCAAAAGGACCTGAAATGGTTGCTCTCTCTCCCCCTCTCTCCCTCTCTTCCCCACGCCCATCTCTCTCGCTCTCTCTTCCCCACCCCCTTTCTCTCTCCCTCTCTCCCTCCCTCTCTCTCTCCCAATCCCACTCTCTCACAACTTCTCATTACCATACTTAACAAGAATTCCACTAATTCCTAACAACCCTTGAAACTCTCAGGTATCAAATCATGTCTGCTACTACTTCTAGAAATTCTCTGAAATTCTCTTTTAAACTCAAGCCATAGGAGAGTATGATTGGCAGCTGACATTTAAAAACACAAAAAGGTAAAACTGGATTTGTGAATCACCTGACGCCAGAAACAGACGAAGGCGTCTGCTACGTTAAATGGCTAGATAGATCAGGTAAACGGCTGCCCGTCTGCTACTGTGAATCATATTGTACGAACCTGGGAACCTGGTTATGATGTACATTACCCCTTGATACACAAACTGATACAACAGCACACATATTTTATGTGAATCGCACCATAATTTGGTTGTTATTTATTTTAGTACATTTGAAGTGCAGTCTAGTTGAAATTGAATGGGGTCGTCTAAAGATTTGTCAACATAATATTCGTGAGACTAACAGTAAATTTATTTTTCTGTGGTCATACATGTATGAGCAATGCTAAGGGGGAGAATTGTAAACAGGACTTCTTGTTTTTTGTCTCATCCAGAGGCCTACATACACTTTCCTTGACATTTCTGACCACACATGGATAGAGAGACAGGCTGTCAGGGGTTAGGGTATCTAGACAAAAAAATGGCAGGGAGGAATGTATACCTACACATTGATAAAGGTAGGGAGATAGTAAATAAGGGGAGAAGGGGCAGGATAGATGTAAATAGATAATTAAAGAGAAGGTTGGGTTACCTGTATGTGTGTGTGTGGGGGGGGGGGGAGTTGGGGGGTAGGGATACCTAGATAAAGATAGGGACATTGAACTTAAATAAGGGGGAAGGTAGGGTTACCTGGATAAAGTTAGGGACATAGAACTTAAATAATGTTGGCGGGGGGGGGGGGGGATTTGGGTACCTAGATACAGGTAGGGACATAGAACTTAAGGAGGGAAGGTTGGGGTACCTAGATAAAGCAAGGGAAATAGAACTTAAATAATGGGGGAAGGGCTAGATACATGTAATTAAAGGGAAAGATAGGGTACATTGTACCTACGTAAATGTAGATAATAAAAGTGAGGGTTGAGGTACCTAGATCATTAATGGGATGGTGTTGGATACCTATATATAGATAAATAAGGAGCATGGTAATTTGTTTGATAAAGATGTCGACATCTGAAATGAGGAACTGATCATGAGGGCTGTAGTGACCTAGGTGTTATCAGGTAGACAGGTATGTATTATAAAAACTATCATGATCGTAATTAAGTCATGTTGTAAACACAGCTATATGTAAACAAACTTGAAATCATTAATAATATACTCGTACTCGCTTCTTCTAGTTACACTAATATATACTCGTACTCCCTACTTCTAGTTAGACCATGTTCAAACTGATATAATAGTAGGCTGGTCCACATATTGTAATTAAAATTCCATTTCAGTTATGGCATCATTTCAAGACACTTGCCCATAATAGTACAAGACAACTTATAAACTCTTCTCTAGCAGTTTTTTACAACTTTATGGTAGAATTATTCGTTTACTCAGTGATAAGTGATTCTGCCAAGTTTTTAAGATCAGTTATCATCACTGAAAGATTTTAAATTCCTTACAAACATAAATACTGCCAAACTGTACATGTATGTGTATATGTATACTATAACCTACATATATTACCAATTACCATGCATTTTATTATATGTATGTATATGTTTGACATTTGAACTTTGTATATACACCCCTTTATATTAATATTACGTACAAATGTATATTAGAGCTAAATGATAAGGCTACGTCAATTTTCCGTCATAGGTCACGAGATGTAAACAGGGCTAATGCTAATCCCAACCCTAACCCTACCCCTAGCCCCAATGCTTACCCTAACCCTAACCTACAATCTCGCCAACAATCACTTGCCCTAACCTTATTTACATCTCAGCGAATTTGACAAAAATTGAGCTGGCCTTAACAAATATATTTAGGGAGAGGGACTAAACCTGTTACTCAATCCTATTCAGATATCCTGAATAAAAATATTGTTTAAAAAGAAACTACAATACTAGTCAAGTTGAATATCAGCCCAAATATTGTTCAATTACTTTCAGTATTTACACAGATATGATGAATTAAAAGTTTTACAACATTCGACATCCCACTGCAGAAGGCATAAATGAAATGAAATGAGGTGTAACGTCCTACTGTTCTGCTCTGACAGGGCTAATGAAGACAGGCATACGCCATGGGGGAAATTATGCCCTGAACAGCAGCACTCGAATTCCAATTCGCAAAGGTGTACATAGGGACTTGTTTTTTTGTACCATCCAAAGAACTAGACAGTGTCCTTGCCATGTCCTTCATCCTGCACCAATAACAAATATAACCATTTATTTATACTATGTTAGTCTCAGAATGACAACCCACAGTATTATTATTATTATTTTCTTAAAAGAAGATGTAAAGATAGTTTACTGCTGTTCATATGTTAATATAAGACAAAAGATAATGATAATAACACATGTTTTAAATAATATAACAGTCATTTTAAAACATCTGTTTCTAGTTTCTCTATAATTTACATGTTTGCTGGAGTAAATTTAACTTATTATTGTATCTAATCAACAAAAGAGTTATATTTTATACCAGTTATTTCACTTTTTGTCGTATTAAAGTTTAAATCACAAACAGTATAAAAATTATATTGCAGCATAATGCGAACAATAAATATTTTAATTCCTAGCATTTCAAGTCTTTCTTTTTTTCAAAATAGAGTAATTACAATTTTTTTTTTTTCGAATTCTTTTGTTAAATCAGAGTAATTTCTATCTTTTTTTAAAATAGAGTAATTTCAGGGTTTTGTTTAAATTATAGAGTAATTTCAAGTCTTGGCAATATGCATTATCATACTTGATTAAATATTAACATGGTAATATACACATTTATATTAAACATGATTTAATACATGGTAATATGCACATTGATATCATACGCTATTTAATATTAGCAAGGTAATATACATATTTATACCATACATGATTTAATGTTAATAATGTTATCATGTCAATAATGTTATATCTCACACAATATATTCCATGTAAATTGTATTTTATTAAATGTTACTAAATTCCACTATCGGTATATACTGCAAAATATACTGCCAGATATAAAACATGCATAAAATAAGAAAATACTAGATAAAAACTTACGCCCTGAAGAAATAAGTCCTCTCCGCGGCATGAAATGTTCGAAAAATAACCGGTGCCAAAATTTGAGAAACAACATCCGCGACCTAGTCCAAAGATAGAACAACTTAACTCATCTCGACATAAATACTACTACACCTATACCCGTTAATGTTCATCTTTCAATGAATCACCTTCCGTATTCCACGTGAAATATAATGGCATATAAAAGAGAATGCCTACCTTGTAATAACTATTATCATCAAACCAGGCCTTGTATCACTTACTAATAGTAAACACAAAATAACTAGCGACCTCTCTCTCTCTCTCCGTGAACTATTCAAAAACAGTCATACTAAACTCCATTATCTTTTTGGCAAAAAGGTTGAAAAATGTCTACTAAAGCACACTCCACCGTGTTCCATGAACATACATACCATTTATTGTAAATCTACCTTCAGTTTCCACATTCGCGCTCGCTGGAAATTAGATCTTCTTTAACCAGTCAAGTTTTGATGCATTCTGGCCGTGTGCCAGATTTTATGAAAGAAAGTTTGCCAGCTGTTGATGAAGTTATGGTTATGTTCTGACTGTAGGTATATCTAAAGGTAAATAATACAGGTATTTTACCTAGACCATTAAAACATTCTCATGATTAGTAATCAATTTTACCCTTATGAAGTCAATTAAGAGCAAGTTTCCTACAGGTAAATATTTTACCTGTAGACCAATAAACCATTCTCATGATTAGTAATCAATTTTACCTGTTTTAAATTAATAGAAAGTTATATTAAAACCTTGCCATGATTAGTAATCAATTGTGTCTCTCTCGGGTAAAAATACACATATTTACCTTTAATCAGGTAAAATTGATTACTATTATTTACCTTTAGGAAACATTTTCTTAACTGTTTGAAAACAGATGAAAATGATTGCTAATGGTTCAATTTTATTTCAATAAAAGTGGGAAGAAATTGTACACAGGCGACTTTACTCCTTGTTACATACAAGCTGGGAATCGCAACCATACCATTGACTCAACAACAGACCTTATGATCAAAAGCTCATGCATTTAGATCATTCGGACCACCAAACTTCCATTCTGACTTAATAACAGACCTTATGATCAAAAGCTCATGCATTAGATCATTTGGACCACCAAACTTCCATCTTGACTCAATAACAGACCTTATGATCCAAACCGAGCATGTTACACCATTCGGCCACCCAACCAAGTTAATAGTTTTAAAAAAGCATAAACCTTGGACAGAAAAGCCTACAGTGAATACTCTCTCTCTCTCTCTCTCTCTCTCTCTCTCTCTCTCCAGTAAATAAAAGATACTTTAAACTTTCAACTCCTAAGTGTAGCTTTGTGAATCATTTAATTAATTTGGTCAAACAGATATTAATAAATTCCACTATGTTTTTGCTTTATATATTTACCCTACTACACTGTGTAAAACTTCATATTATTCTTAACTGGTAAAAATATTGATTTTTAACATTTGATAAAAATTGAGTCACATTCCTAACATTTTATGATAATATAAGGGAATAACAGTTGTTGGCTGCTGACACAATCCTCTCAATCCATAATAAAATAACCACATTTTTTCTACTGCTTTTAGCCCTTTATTTCATCAATTCAGAAAAAATAATAAAAACCTTTAAATTTAAATTTAAATTACATGTAGATAGAAATAAAGAGAGAGAGAAATGTGGTTTAACGTTCACTCGTCACAAACTAGGTCATTTCGGGACAAATATATGGTTTTAAATTTTATTTCAATAATTCGCTTGCGCCTAGAGTTCTTTAGCAGTGGGAGCAAACCGGAGGACCCAGAGAAAACCCACGAGGTTGGACAGGCGACCCTACTCCTTGTCACGTACAACCGGGGATTCGAAACCACGCCAGTTGACTCAATGACAGGCTTTAAGATACAGCGTGCACGTAGATATAAATAAAAGATACAAAACATAGCAATATGCTCGTATGTATGGGTGTTGTATTGAGCATGATGTTGGGTACCGGTATGCTTACGCTTCCTGGAACACCTGGTAACATTTCTTGTTTAGCTGTAAAACAGGTGGTGACTGATGTGCATGAGGCAGGTTATGCTTACTCCTCCAGAACAACTGATACCACTTCCAGTTTAGCTGTAAAAGCAGCAGTGACTTATATGCATGAGGCAGGATATGCTTACTCCTCCTAGAGCATCTGATACCACTTCTAGTTTAGCCGTAAAAGCAGTGGCGACTTATGTGCATGAGGCAGACTATGCTTACTCCTCCTAGAACACCTGAAATCACTTTTCATTTGAGGATTTCACATAGCTAACACATATTTCTTGTATATTTTTTATTCAGGCTGACCTTAAAAATATCTTTGTTTCGCCTAACGCGACCGACTAACTAAAACCACCCCCGACTTAAATTATTTTATTGCACTTTTCCGCGATCTTTTTATTTTATTTTGTGTGTCAACCTGAAATATATCACGAGAGTTATTTCCCTTTACTATGGCTATGGTTTGATTCATTATTGAAACTGGTTGATCAAGACGAAAGCATCATAGTTGTCGCTTCTCAACAAAATGGTTGCAGACGAAAGCACGTCCATTCCCACGAAATGATTCTGCCTCTATTTTTCTCGAAAAATGAAGGCACAACCCGCACGATCGTTATAAAACGTGTTGAGGGAGTTTCAAACGTCAGTTTGTGGCAATTCGTGTGCGAGTCGTGCATCACGAAAAATCCCGATGTCATTGATTTGTTTGCCAATAAAAGAAGACGAATGTTTGCACCCGGAAAATTATCAAGCTGTCAAATTAGCTCTTAAAAAAAAATCTGAAAAAAAAAAACCGACCTACCGACCCTTCTCCTCGATTGTGGGTTGGGTTTGGTGAAACAAAGATATTTTTAAGGTCAGCCTCAGATCAGCGTCCTGGTGGCTCGTCAAGTACATGTATGCCGCTGGTTAACTAAACAGTAGGTCATGGGTTTGATCCCAGGTTGAAGTTTTCAAGCCTGGTTTCTCTGTATTAGTTATGCATGGTAAAAACAGTGTCTAGTTATTTGGATGGGCCAAAAAAGAAAACAAGACCCAGGTATACAGCATTAAAGATAACCTGACAGTTGGAACTACATGGTGGTCTTAATGCTGTTGTCCAGGCAACATTTCACTCGTAACATACTGCATGTGGCGTAAGGCCATCTTCATTCGCCCAGTCAGAGCAGAACAGTAGGACATTAAACGGTTACTCCCCTCCCCCCCCCTCATTTTATTTTGTGTTAGATTTAATTTCATGCATTTCTCTATCTACATTATACCAGTTTTGTGGAATGACTGATAAGAAATAGTTCCATTTACCAGCCATTATGAGATGCCCTGGTATATCATGAAATACAGATACATGTACATGTACCAGATTATATTAATTAAGAGATACTCCCAACTCCAGCTGAAGTTTAAGAGAGAGAGAGAAAGATATACAAATAAACTTTCTACAGACTGGTCATTATCAGTATAAAATCCTGACAGCTATCATCACCTAATTACAAACACCTAATAGACTTATAAAAATATCATTTCTCTTTACCATGTATCGTAGTGGAACCAGCAATAACAACTCTATGACCTTCCTCCAGGCATCTTTGGCACTCAGTTTATTATCAGACAAGAATTTATACTTTATAGCCAGTTGTACTGGTCAAGTGAACTGGTTGCTCTGGTTATAAATATTTTATACATTAATGGAATGTTGAGAGTATGGTGATAATTTGAACACTTAAATACGAAACATGGCAGAATAAAAATCACAGCATTGGAACTCCATGTACATGTATAAAACAGTCTCATAAAAACATAGTAATATAATACGGAGCCAAAATTAATATTTAAAGACCATAGATCAATTACGCAGAGAGATATGACAGAATATTCGAGTAGCAGTTGAATAATGACAGAATATTCGAGTAGCAGTTGAATGACAGAATATTTGAGCAGTAGTTGAATACAGAATATTTCGAAATACAATTAAATAATGACAGAATATTTAAATAACATTTGAAAAATGACAGAATATTCGAATAACAATTGAATAATGACTGAATATGCAAATAACAATTGAATAATGACAGAATATTCAAATAACAATTGAATAATGACAGAAAATCCAAATAGTATTTGAATAATGACAAAATATTCAAATAGTATTTGAAATGAAATGAAACGAAATGGGGTTTAACGTCTTACTGTTCTGCTCCGACTGGGCTAATGAAGACAGAACAGGGAATAGTATTTGAATAATTACACAATATTTGAATAGTATTTTAATAATGACACAATATACAAATAGTATTTAAATTATGAAATCAGTATTTGAATAGTAAAATCAGTATTCGATGTGACAAAGTAACTCGGGGGTGGGGGGGGGGTAAATTGTCTAATTTGTGCACTTTAGATCATAAGTTTTATCATCGAGTCACGTGAAGTAGCTTCGATCCCAACCTTGTCCCAGACAATCCGACAAGGAGTAGGGTTGTCTGCGCAATCTTTTGGATTCTCTCTAGGTCCTTCAGTTTCCTCAAACTGCTAAAAACCTGTACAACTCCTCCAGCACATTCTTGAAATAAAATTGTACCATAGGTTAGTTCCGAAATGACTGTGGATGTTAAAGATACATTATGGGAGATTCGGTAACGAGTTGGCAGTTCTCACTATAATAGTTAAAAACAAGATAATGTAAAGGCAATTTGGTGAAAATTTCATCCAAATCGATCCACTATGAACCGAGAACTAAACGACTGAACTTCCCATAAGCCTTGGTCATCATTACTAAAGGCAGTACGATAAACAGCATAGTCTCGATTATCCATTTAATTGTTTAATCGAGAAGGAAAGTTATGCAGTAAATCGGCTTACAATCCACTAAAGATCACAGGCTAGCGCTGCCATCTAGAGTTGATTATGGCCTGGATAGGTTAATTAATGTCTAATTAATAATTTAGATATAATTTCAGGCCTAAAGAAAGACCTGAAATAGGCAGATTTAGCTCTTGCATATTGTATGTTTAATTATTGTTAAACACCCTATCTCTCTTTACAAAAACAAAATCACTGAGTGACCAGTGCAAATGAAAAGATTTTGACGATTTCCTCTCAATCTCCATACCTGTGTATCTGTCACCGGATGACATCTTAAACTAATATAGCATCACTGATAAACAACATTCCTAAATCTTTATTTTATTGAACCTACATCCGTGGAATTTTCCAAACCAAACAATCGTGCACCCACATGTTTGATGTACAAATTTTATGATATTTTGTCAACGTTTACATATTGTTTTTAATCTTCAGGTATTCCAATTATTGCATGCGCCGATTATCATGTGTGCAAAAAACATTATTTTCTGTAAACAAACTGAACATTCCAACGACCTCAGCCACCACAAATGAAAATTTTGCTAACATTCCTTTTATAAGTTCTATACATAAAATGTGACTTATGTCAAAAACTCCTAATAATATGGATTCACAT